TAGTCAAATAAGTTTGGATATATTTATTAATACAATACTCTCTTAAAGTTCATTAGCGCATGAGTATCATAAAGGCTCTGTGAACTCAAGGGGAAAAGCACAGAGGACTAAGAAGAACCCTCCAGTTTAAAAGACATGTGTACTATTGACTCCTTGTTTTTTCATAACTTGGAGAAAGCCTATTTTTTAATCACCCCTTATTTTAATTTCCTTACTATCCTTTATTTGCGTATTTTTCTCACAACTTTGAGAAAAGCTAGCATAGTGAGTACTATTTCTGAGAAAAGAGAGACATACTAAGTTGCCTTTTTTTCATAAGCTTTCACTCATGTCAGAGTTCTCCTGATTGGTAGCAGTAACCTCCTCTGGCTGGGTGGGGAAGTCTATGCCTGTGTCCCCAGCACGCAGAGGGCAGAGACGGAGGACCACGAATTCCAGGCCTGCTTGGATTAATTATTGAGAGCCTATCTCAATAATGGAGACAAATCCGGGGGCTAGAGAGATGGCTCATTGGTTGATGAGGGCTTATTGCTTTCCAAAGGACTCAAATTTGGTTCCCAGGATCATGCTGGACTGCTCACAACCCTATAACTCCTGTTCCTGGGAATCCAACGCCAGCTTCTGGCCTCCAAGAATACTTGCATGCACCTGACATAACACACACACACACACACACACACAAATATACATCTTAAGAAAAGATAAGAAAATAAACAAGAAAACAAAAATCTCTTCTGGTAGATGCCCATGGTGCTCTGTCCTTCACGCAGGACATTTTTTCTTTTCTTGCATTGTGTGAGGAAGTGTGTGTGGTGGGCACGTGTACACACAGGACCAGAATTGACCTCCATCCCTCTCACTCTATTTAACAAGGCTCTTGAACCCAGAACTCAGTTGGGCCAGTCTGGCCTGCTGAGTACTGGGATCACAGAGGGATGCCACATCTACCCAGCTTTTATGTAGGTTTAGGGAAGCTGAACTCTGTTCTTTATGCTGGCAGAGCAAGCACTTTACCCCCTCAGCCATCTTTAGCCCGTTTACTGAATTTTCAAAGTTAATTTTGTAGGATATAAAGGATATAAAGTAATGGGACTCATCATGGTCTTTTCGGATCTGCATGTGGGCTTGTATGCATGTTCACAGTTGTGCGGGTGCAGGCATGTTTGCAGCTGGACGCCGACACGAGACATCTTCATTCCTCTCCTCTGCACTATAAGGCAGGATCTCTCACTTGAACCTAGAGCTCGCTGACGTGGCTATTTACAGAAGGGATCATAGCTCCACCTTCCAAGTGATCTAAGTATAGGGAGGCTGCCACACCCACCTTTTATCTATGTCCCGGGGATCTGAACTCTGGCCCTGACACTTTCATGGCAAACACTTCACCCACTGAGCCATATGTGTCCCCAACCTCTGACAACTTTAAGTGATTCTACCTGCCTCCCCCGCCCCCCAAAACAGGGTTTCTCTGTGTAATAGCTCTGGCTGTCCTGGAATTCGCTCTGTACTAGATTGGCCTCGAACTCACAGAGATCGGCCTACCTCTGCCTCCCAGGTGCTGGATTAAAGTGTGCACCACCACCGCCCGTGGAACTCTACCTGCCTTTTATAGATTAAATAATTGTAGAAAATTATACTTTTTTCATGACTGAGCCCACTCATATCTATAATACTTTATTGAACTTCTAACGTGTTCATTATTTAATCATTCAAAGAGTAGATACTATGAGTGTCATCTGAAAGATGAGGAAACTGAGTTTGGAGAACTGAAGCAATTCTCAAGGCCGCAGAACTACCATTGTCTGAGTGTGGTGAGGAAGTCGGACACAAATCCACTAAAACTCATTTACTTTAGATAACAGCAGTAGCATCTTCTATTCCGTTTCCACAGGACTCGTTTGATTTCTGTAGTACCGAGGCTTCACACACTAAGCAAGAGCAGGGGGTTTGTTACTGAGCTACAACCCCAGCCCTTCTGAGACCTGGAATAAGACACAGGCTTTCAGTGTATGCTCTATTTTCTCTTAATAACATCCTAGCAACAATTCCAAGTGTTTTGGGAATGAAAACAATCGATCAGCTATCATGTAAGAAAAAACCCAGACATATTCTCCTTCGGTTTACCATCTGCTGTCATAGGGCACGCTTACGCCAGCTTTCACTCAGCACACTGCTTATTTTGTACAAGTATCTGGGTTTGGCAGTGAGGAACACAAGGCTGGGTGGGGAACAACCTATCTTCCAGGAATTGATAACCCAGCAAGGGAAATCACATATATGTAAATAGCTAGATTAACCAGAATGCTGTAGATCAGAACCCAAGGCAGAGGAATAGTAAGGTGCCACAGATTACTTTTGTTGGAATGAAATCATACTTAGGCTCTAAATGCAAATATAAACAAGCAGGTTGAGAATTTATCCGTTACATATGTTCAAAATGGCTCTAGGTAAGAAACAGATTTGTGATGCCTTGGCAATTTTATTCACAAAAGCCGATGTCATTTTGGCAAAACATTTACAAATTTTCACTGTTTCCTTAAAGGTTAGTTTCTTATCTAAAACTTGAGGACTTACCTCATTAATAAAAAAGCTAGTAGGCATTTTGCCAATCTTCACAGTCACCCGGTATTTTAAAGAAATATTATTTTCACGTAATTGATTATAACCAATTATACTAGAGTCAACTGGAAGACTTCAGAAGGTGTGTGTGTCGTGAGGAGTAGCACCCATCACTAATTCTTACATTTCTCCTTTGAAATGACAGGACACACGAGCTTGGAAGAGAACGTGATAAACAATCCATTTATTCCAATGCTGTCTCTCCTTTGAAAGATGTGTTGTACTTTTCCTATTGGCTTAGAATGTGAACCAATAAGGAAGCAGGAGCCTTGTAACTGTTCATCAAGCCAGCCTGGCATTGTGAACGCTGGTAGAGACCGCTTTGTTCTTTGCCTCTGACTTTCAGCATTTTATGGGGTTGACATTTTTCTTTTGAAATAGTAAGCAAAAATAATTCAGCTTGGGTGGTGTTTGCCTTGAAATATATTCTCTAATGTTAATTCCTTCTTTATTGTTCAGACTTAAGAGGTGATAAATCTTTAACCGATGTTCAAAAGAAAATCAAGAACTTAAATACAAGTTTTTATTATCGTGTTGAACATACTTCAGGTGAACAAAATTAATATAGGCTTGCTAGATTTGTTTGAAGTTTATAATTACTAAGGTTCTTTCATTTCAAAAGTGGCATATATTAGTTAGTTATTAGCCTCCTAATAGCTGCTTGGAGCAGAGTTAATGTTAGGTTCTCAGCAATAGCTATTTATGCTTGGGATTCTGGATTATTACATTTTTTTTTGTTTATGATATTTAGAAAAAGCCTTAATAAAGGCGCTTGTGTAGTCATTTTTTTAAACACGGAAACTCAACATCTCTAAAAAGCCAAAAATATTTCCTTTTATATTCTTTTCTGTGTGGGAGATTTTTCAGAAAATTTATCACCCTAAGGTCTCTGCTTAAATGTACTAGTTTCTAAACAAACAAACAAACAAACCACTAGACCATTTTCTCATTGAGTGTGAGAGTGTTTGAAACCAGACCCGAAGGAAGGAAGGGAAACATTTTTTCACTTGTATTCTCTCCAAATTTACATTCAGTTTAAGTAATTGCCGTAACAGCACTGACAGTTAATCTGTCTCTTTGATGTAGGCGAATACTTTATCATGAGGTTATTTTACTGCGGCAGGGGGGTGGGGCAGTGAAAGAATACAAAGTAATTACAAAGAGAGAGCAAACTCCCGAAGAAAACAGAAAAGGGGGGGGGGAAAAAAGGCGAAACGTCCAGTATCATCATTAATCAGAAGGCTAGCGTGAGACACTTTTGTACTCTGAAAGCACCGCGATCGTTTCGCGTCAGGGCAGGGACACATTAAACAGGGAAGTCAAGAGTCCAGCACGGAAAAACATGGAGCGGGCTTAGGGGACGGGCTAACACTCCCGGATCGGCAGAGGGAAGGGAACACTGTTGCTTTTTCTTGGCACCTGAAAACTCCAGCTCCGCGGGGGCAAAGGCCGCAGCTCTCCTGGGCTCGGGCCAGCGTGTGCCGACCGCACGTTGGCGGCGCGGGCCGGGTACCGGCAGCCTCCGTCCCGGTCGCCGCGGCGGCCGCG